GCGTTGCGCAAACAGATGAATGTAAGACAGCTAGAGGCACGTAATCATGAATCAAAACATCATTCCTTTCTGATATCCCCTATCATTTTAATTTGTCGAATTCACAGCTGTTATTAAAGCTATATGTGTTGCTATAGTCTCTGCACCACGCACCGCGCTATATCACTACTGCGACAAACCTGCAAGGACGCATTAATTTTCGTTTGAGTCGCATAATTTGTCCCCTGGGGGCTTTATTTAATACTCCCATCGAGGTGCGTAATACTCAAGCCACTTTTTTGGTAGGTATCACTGTAGTTTGCCATTATATTTTAATGAATATGGTGTAGGAACTAGCACCATGCATTGTAATGTTATGGTCGTGGCGTTTACTACTAGCTCCTCTAAGAGAAAACGCCGATAAGTGAACAACCTTGCAATGAAGACACCAACCACGCAAGTCACGACGAAAAACAATAATGGAAAAATATAAAGAGGGCGTCACGTGCAAATAGCAAGGCCAGCAGGAACCTTGGCTATTATATGAGCAGTGCAGAAGGGTGCATGAGAGTGAGGGCGCCGAGTAGAGTAAATAAAAACAGAAGTAAAAGAGGCACAACATCGCACGCCACTCTTGGAGACCTTGCTGGATCGTTCATTGCCGCTGATAGGCTTCAATTCCCTCACTGACTGCTTCTAAGACGCGTGCAGCTTTGCAAGGTTCGCCAGTTCAACTGGCATTCTGCAGAGGAAGCGTGTGAGCTGTAAATAATGAAAAAATATAAGTACATTTACACATGAATTTCCGTCGCGCTTTGTTTTAAGCGCGCTATCACTGCGTTTACTAACTAACCCTGGACAGCACAGGTCAAAAGCCTCAGTTATTTCTTGATAGTATCTTCGGTTGCGACCACTTATGGTCACCCACGATAAAGTCCAGCCATTTCCTAGAGTATCCAACAGACGCTTCCTGCTTTCCACAACATCTTTTAGTCAACCTTTTCCATCGTGATTTATACGTGCAGTGGTGAAGCTATATCTACCGTCACGCGTGCTCATCATTCATCGCATCGATTATTGGATGCACTAGTGCCTCACGAAGACTGCGACTAACGGTACTTAGAAAAATACGCTGTCTGAGGTCGCATGAGGTTTTTGCCACTTGCGAAGTAAATATAGCTTCCACATTTTCCCTGCTGAATATCATTCTATCATGGAGGGCTAAGGCTGCTCGCTCTAAGCACACTGTTCTTATTTGAAAATTTGTGATCGGCGAGTTTCATTCGGACTTCTAATCTGTACCGAAGCATAAGCTTGTAGTATTTGCTTCGTGTTAATGAAATATCCCCGTCTGTGTAAAAGTGTAGATGAGAGGAAACGAATAGAGAAACAACTGATTATATTGAGGTCGCTTATAAGATAGTGGTGCGAATGTTCAACAACAAATGTCCACAATGGAACAGCAAGCGTAACAATTAACGACTGCGAGAAACGCCTCATTCCGGTTTTCCGAACAACTTCAAATGGATTATGCGCGCGCGCTACCTATAGACGCTCCGAAGAAAGAGAAATGAAGCAGCCGTGGCGGGCATTTTAAATCAAGCGCCCCAGCCAAGCCCTTGCTGAGGTGTTATTCTTTTGCCCAGTAATGTGAAACACTCTTAGGCCGAAAAAAAAAAACATCTGTTTTTCTAATAAAGAGTATCGCTTTCTCTCGAGTAACTCTTGGTTCTCTTGGGTCAAGCCAGCGATCTCGATCACTCCGGACAGCTACAGCGAGTACCGCGATTAAAGCTAATCTCTATTAGCTATAGTTCGATAGCATAATGTCGTAGTCTGGAGGCGTCAGAAAGACAGAAAATCATGTTTTAGAAGTCGCAATTATGAGCATGTCTGTAATAGTCAAGGCCCTTACTCGACTAAATACGGATGAGGGGATCAAGTGTTCAGTTCGCGGTTCTTTTTGCTGCCTCATTCCATTCTTTCCTGCACGGATAGTTTGAGTATTGTCTTCATTTTAAACGGGTGGTGGTTTGACCTTCTTCCCTTTTATTAAAACTTGCTTGAAACTATTGCCATTCCAGCATATATTGCATTTGAGTATTGTGCCTAATCGTGCTGAAGTGCTGCAATGTAAAAGCAATAGAGTTGCACGTAAATTATTTTAATCGCACATAGCCGATACAAGTGAACGTAATACGTAGAAGTCTGGAATTAATAGTATCGGCTCTCGTGTAGTAGCAGTCCTGTGTGACGTTTTCTTAATTTATTTTGATGGGGCTTTAAAAACAGCACTGAGCGGCCTCGTAATTAATGTCTTCGGGTATGTGAACGATTACCTTGTGCTCGTTCATTCAGCTTTCTTGAAACAAAACCGGGATAATATGATAGAAACCTTAGACTAAAAAGGGAATGCATTGCGTTTCGCGCACGAGGTCCACCAAGATAATATATTGCAGTTTTTCGATCTTGAATTATCTTTTCAGGCATATCACCTATGCTGTTCTTTTACTCTCCCCGTTCAAAGAAACCCATCCTATAGCTACTCTTCTTTGCATTCTAAAGTAGCGAAATCGGGTATTGCGATTAACCCTCTTAATTCTTTTGTAATGAAATCTTGCTACCACAAAATTACTGGTGTGTTTTTTTTTTTCAAATTAAATATTTAGGTTGCAAGAGGCACGCATTCCGCATATAATGCTCTCAATTTCGCCGCTCAGAAGGTGTTGCGCATGAAGTAAGGAAAGCGATGCCCCATAAAAGATGCGGATAAACGAAATCCCGTATTTTTGCATGAGTTCTCACATAAGATTTACAAAAAAATTTGCAGAAAAATTTAACATTTACGTTGTATTTTCCGCCAGTGGAAAATTACAGAAAATATGTGTTATAGAATTGACTTAAAAAAAACATAACGAAAGCAGGCCTCGTGAATAAAAGTTGCGGTGTTAAGCACACTAATTGTTTCACCGATTGTCGGTCAAACGTCGTTTATTGTATTGTCTTGTGGCAAGTTATATATTGGGCAGACTGCACGCTTCGCCAGCGAGAATACTGCAATGCGCTGAAGTCGGCCCCGGGTTTACATTTGTTCGCCGATTGCACAAAGAGTGGCTTCGTACCTCAAATTTCGCACACATATGTATTATACACCCATCGTGGCACAGAAACAAGAGAGATTGCGAAAGCCTTTTTTAATTAAAAAAAAAAGAATACTGATGTTGTGTTAGCTCACCATGTGAATGTTAGATTGTGAAATCTCGTTTCTGGACAGCACTTGATCACAGTGGAACCTTTTCACTTGTGTTTTCCTTTCCTTTCTTGCCTTTCTGGCATATATTATCTTCGTTGAATAAACCAAGTTTCAATCTGTGCTCGTTTGTCTCCTCTCTAGTATCCCGTTAGTTTGAACTCCCAATATTTCATTATGAATATATACCCACTAGCTCCGCTGTCAACCCTTCTACATCTGTCCAATGTTCGCGAAAACTCTTATCGCGTATGTGACACAGAAAAAACAAATTTTAATCAAGGTTTGTGGACAGGCGAAACCAATAATTTAAAACAAATAACTGAACTGTAGGGAATAATCCCAGTGATAAAAACCGGGGCTGTACGTTTCAGCATCTCTGGTTAAAAATTTCTTATACAGTGCCCCTGAAGTACGCATTGCGTTTTCACGAGCTGACACGAACGCCCTGCTTCGCTGCGTGATGCGCAGCTACACACTTCAGCACTAGACCGAACTGGAACGGCCACACCGGTGACTTAACAAATGAGACCCGGAAATGATATTCCGCATGCCCTCCTGAATTGAAGCGGCACATCACAAGTACGATCCACCGCATTCGTCTTGGTGTGGCCTACACAAGACGATACGCACATATCATCGGCCGCATTGACACCAGTCCCAATTGTGAACACTGTGATATGCCAGAAACACTTGAGCACACATTTTGTGATTGCCCAGCGTAGACACGTGAACAGCAAACACTGATTTCTTCCACTGAACGATTTCGCAGTAGGTCATTAAATGATGAGACCGTGCTGAGCCCTTGGCCTGACACCAACACTGCGATCCGATAAGAGCGGTGATAGCCTTTTCAAAAGCAACTGGACAACACATACGCGACTATAACATCTTTCTCAGCTGGAAAGGATTGTATATATTCACCTCTCAATCTCACCACCGTCATCCATCGCACTTTCTCTTCCCCTCCCCCAGTGTAGAGCAGCAGGCTAACGTTCAGGCTGATCTCTGTGCCTTTCTGTAAATAAACCTGTCTCTTTAGCTCCCTCTGGTTAAACACCTCAACGGAATGCTGGAGGATTGATTGTTTTCATTATCATAAAATGTAGAGCAGGGAGAAGTAAAGTTGGTGGTTGACGCGGCTGTTCTAACCGTTCTAATTCTGACGCGGCCATTCTAGAGCAACAACGTTCGAACCAGTTCGCACCATCGCGAGCCATGAGAGGCTCTTTTTTTTTTTTCTCTGGTCGACTGGACGAGAGTGGCGCGGCGCTACAATATCATTGCGTCAGTTGATGTTAATGATAAACTGCGCTGAACAAGAAATACTCGACGACATATTTATCTTCACGAAAGCACTTTTCTTCATCAGGGAAGCAACTGCTTTTTATATCAGCCGTTTTTGCGAGCTCTCTCCCACCTTCAATATAGGAGGAAAGCAAGCTTTTCTTCTACTCCTCGTCACCCATTGAGTGAACGTATGTGCCATTCCGATACAGCTTCCCTAGCGGGCTGCAGAAATTAGGCGCCTTCTAACCACAACCACCACCAAACGTCCAGGGTTACACCGGGATTTTCCACTCGACCACAGGCTGCAATCGCCTGTACGAAAAAAAAAAGCACAATGTTATCAGCGAGCTCAGCTAGTGTTTATCGCTGCTGCGCTGACGTCACTTTTTTTTTGCCAATCACACTAGCAACCGGTGGCGCCACCTTTCAAACCTAAACGTCAGCTGCTTGCTGCCAATGTGCGGATAATGAGGAGCAGTTCACTGAGTGTCACAGCGGCAGAGGAAGACGAAGCTGGACCGTGGCAGAATAATCTACATTGACGCTCGCATAGGTATTACCAGCTTGATGACTTCGAAATTCTTGCGAGTAGCAAGAATTGCACCCTTTTGTAGCGGACATCGAGGAGCAACGAATCATTCATCAAACGTTTCAAGTTTCCCGCGGCTCCTCTCGGTCAGCGCAAGCGCACAAAGTAAATTTCTCTTCAGACAGGTGAGACACGTTCACATTTTGTTAGCAACGCAAGAGCAACGCTTTATTGATGACGCATACTTAGCAATCACGTCACTCTTTTGTTCAGAAATCTGCCAGTGCCAATTAAGCCAGGTTCTTATGCAGTGCGTGAGAGAAGCGGCGCAGTTGTTTTTTTTTTTTTTTTTTTTTTTGCCATGGCCACCGTGGGCATGGCGAGATGAATTGCCGACGAATCATGAACGATGCCACAAAACGGTTTAGTCATCCCGGTGTGCCGTGTCTTTACTCTCCTCGGTAATCTTAATCTCACACCTGAGATGCAGGGTTTACTCTTGAGTATGCAATAAAATATTTGCACCTCACACAGTGCATGACTGGCTTGAAATTCAAAAGATTTATTTCGCGTGACCAACGCTGGTATGCAGTCCACGGCCGGCCCACACCATTGAGAGCGAGGCCGTGGCAACATTCATACGCACCTCTATATATATCGCCGTGTGAAAGCGAATCTCATTGAAATGCAATCGTAAACCAGCTGGCCCAGAGCTTGCGTGTAATCCCTTGCACGTGGCAGACACGCAATGCTCCCGAAGACGAGAAAAAAAAAAGATATATATATATATATATATATATATATATATATATATATATATATATATATATATATATATATATATATGGGATATGGCACAACGGGAGCGTTGTCAACAAGGATAAATATATTTATTTCCCAACAGTTTCGGGAGGGGTCCTCCCTTCATCAGGGGATGAGTTATACTGACATGAATTTCCAAACTTCGTTGCTGCCGCGTCCCTCTCGCCTTGAAACATGTTTGCGAGAGTGAGAGGGAACTAGAAAAAAAGGGGGGGGGGAGAAAAAAAAAGAAAAAGAAAGAAAAGAAAGAAAGTAAAAAAGAGGAAGAACCACTGTCAACACTGAGAACGAAACCAACTGTCCGTGTACGTCCACATACGTTTCTTATCACGTGCTGTTCAGTTCTCGACGTGTGTCGGGCCACCCAAGATTGTCGCCGCGGTGCCGGGAGGGTCCGTGACGGCGTGCGTAAAAGAAAGGGTTTCCCCGTAATGGGTCGGTCGGCATGCGGCGTGCGTAAAGGAAGGGTCTCCCGTTAATGGGTCGGTCGGCTCTTTTTTGAAGGAAAACGGACGAAGATTAAAGGTAAAAAGAGCCGACCGAATTTCCAGAGCACTCCTCTACGGTGTCTCTCATAATCATATGGTGGTTTTGGGACGTTAAACCTCTGGTATTACTAATATCAAAGCACGCCAGTGCATAAAAGGCAATACGTGAGGTGACGGCTCTTGCTAAGGTGACGCCATCTCGCGGCTGTTGTTTCTAACTGCGGCAGCCACGGCTCCTCCCTGAACACTACTCTATATTCTAGTACACTATAGCAAGAACGACCAGGATGTTTTTTTTTTTGTTTTTTTAACACCCTCGTAATGCGTCACAATGGAACTCGTGGCTCCATCTCGAAACAATTCACGAAAGCGTGCCGACGTTTCTTCAAGGGAAAAAACCAGAAAATGCAGAACGGGCTATGTCATTGAGATCTGTAGAGAAACTTCGACAGGTAGTTGCACAAGCGTCCACTCTTCGACCGTCCTTCTCCGGAAACTCGCGTGCAAAGGCAACCGTCTCTTTCGTGATCGGAAAGCATCGATTCGTACGACTGCTCTCGGCAAGCTCAAGTATGAAAAGCGACGTCCTGTTCAGGCAGGTGAGGTCGTGTTTATTTAACATAGTGGCACGTGCGCTTTGATAGTACACGGCACCGCGCCTTTTCTTTCGACTGTTTGGTGTTGCCTATCGGGCAATCTACCGGCAGTGGTACGGAGGGGCCGAGGGGATGGAGCCACGTTGTCCGGCTTTCGTGTGTTTTCCCAGATTCCGATGTGCGCTTCGCCTGGCGCTTGCGCGGTCAGCTGTTCCCGTCCTCGGTGCGCGGGCATGCGTATCGTCGCTGCATTTGAACGCGAAAGTGAATATTATCACATTGCTTAATCGTGACGAGCTTCACTTCGGCATATCGACAGTGAGGGCTTGATAGCGTTGTCCGGCATTAACTGCGCACTTTATCATTGCCTCCCTTGTGGTAACACAATGGTAGTACGTAAGTGTTCTGTGGTAACACGGTAACACGCACAACGTTTTCGTTTTCCTCGTAAGGATTAATAGGGAGCAGTAATGTAGCCGTCCGAAAGGTTTCTTTTTTCGGCTGCTGCTGCTGCTGTCTAATTAAACTTTTGAAAATACGAATTGAAAGACCAATCATTATGAAGTTACAAAATAAGAAAAGGCGGTACTTTTTGAAAGTGTCATTTGCGAAAACCGTAATCGTGCTGCGCCATGTGCTACAGCTGAACAACGAACCGCCCAATTGTCCCCGAATTCGCTGTCGGCGCCTCCCTTTCCTTGTTCAAAGTTTCGGTACTCTATATTCAGCACTATTGCTCAATCAGCGCGCTGCTTTTGCACTGCACGCCTCGTTTCGCCTTGGCACGAACATTAACGGTTTTGTGTGTCCTTGAAGCTGTTTGACCAGAAGAGCTGCACCTACAGCTACCTCTTGGCCGACCAGAACACGAAGGAAGCCATCCTGATCGACCCGGTACTTGAGCAAGTGGACAGAGACACGAAGCTGATCAACGAACTTGGTCTTCGCCTTGCCTATGCAGGTGGGGGCACTTAGATGACAGATTTCAAAGAAGCATAAACAAATTTGCGATTTGTGATCCATGATTCGCGTAGTGCATGCAACCCAACGTCATAACATGAGTGAGGATGCACTGTATGCCCGTGAAGCAGATTATAAATGACCGGGAACGACAAGGTAGGAGAAAACACATGAAATGTCTCAGTGTGCTAGAAATGTAGGTGATTTGAGTGATGGTATATGTCGCACTAGTCATTTAATAGAGGAACAAAAAAATGCTATTTCATAGAAAGGGAAAGAGGAAACTTCACTTTCATGTGTAATTCCAGTGTGCTTTTGTGCGTATTAATCAATATCAAAGTAATTTTTTTGTATGCAACATGCCTATTTATGGTATACATATTAGGAAATATGATCTTGCATCAGAACAAGACCACACAAAGTTCTATCATACTCTTAAAAAATACTTATGCACCAAAAACTGCTCTATCGCATCTTCGTAACCATCAGTGTTTATAGGACTGTTGCCAATGTTTTTGCACTATTGTAGTTACTGTCAAAATAGTTTTTTTTTGTATTTCACCTTCACATACTGTAACTCACTTTTCTAGTATGTATTTTGCTTTCATGTTCATAAGTTGAACTGCATTTTCTATTATATTCATTATTTGCCTATGTATGTGTAGATAATATGTATATATATTTTGCTAACATATTATCTGTACCGCCCCCCTTACACAATGCCCCTCAAGGGCTCTGTAAGGTACTGTAAATAAGTAAATAAAGTATTCCTGTAAAGATTATATTGAATTATATAATTGAATTGAATAGGATGCAGTAATAATAGGATACTTGGAATAATTGCTGCTTATTGGCTGCCAGCATAACCATACATGTAGCCTTCTCTTGCAGTGAATACTCATGTCCATGCAGACCACATAACCGGGTCTGGAAAATTAAAAGAAATCATTCAGAACTGCCGCAGTGTCATCTCTGCTGCATCCAAGGCAAAAGCCGATGATCACCTTAATCCTGGAGACATATTTGGAGTCGGTTGCATTAAGCTGGAAGCCAGGGCCACTCCTGGCCATACCAATGGTATGTATGTCTTTGCATATGTTATGAGTCTGTAAAAGGTACAGACTTTACTGCCTTAATATCAACAAGATGTAAGGATAATGAAGTGAAAAGCATCACTAGGTATACGTTATGAATAGGTCACAATCAGTGCACAAGGGTTTTCTGCCTGTAAAAAAACAGACACTTAGCAAGTATGTATAAATTCTTAGCCTTTTCTCATTTGAATGGCAAATGCTAAATGTAAACTAGGCAAGATAGTTTAATACTGCAAATGTTACCTGTAGATGGCAGTCATAGTAAGTGTTTGTTGAAAAAAGAATGAGCATTGCAAATGATTGGAACATGTCGAGTCTCTGAATGCTAGATAATATAGAGTTCAACTTTTCAGTTTGTGTCCACTGCCAAACCAGTCATCTGTATGACAGACTTGGTGAGGCACTAGAGACCCTACATGTAATTTCTCTTTTATCTTTTTTCTCTTTCACTGCTTGTGTAGGCTTACAGTCTACCTTAAGCAGAGAGCAAAGCAGTTTTGCTATGGCGTGAATACGTTTACGGCTCAATGGCTTAAACCAGAAAATGCTGACTCGGTAAACATGAAATTATTAGAAACTGAAAACATCTTAAGTGTAGAGATTTTAAAATTGTTATCCTGGGCCGCCTTTTTATCCTGGTCTTACCCACACTCCTGCACTGTGATTATTGTGAGAATAAGCCACAGAGTGTGACAGATTGCAAGAGTTTGTACAGAGCTCAGCCTGGCCCTGGTACACTAAGTCATTCATTCTATTCAGTATGGCTTAGTCAATTCCCTATTATGCATCAAGTCAGAAGTGTATTGAGCAGTAAACAACTTATTCATCCATTCAAAAGTAGGAATAGTTGGAGCAGACGTTTTGGTATAACAAAAAAGAACACTACAGCAGCTACGTAATGTACAGCACATGAGATTGATGGGCCTTTATGAATATTCTAGAGAATCTTTACAAAGCAAGTCACGTCTCTTCACCTTCTTATCTTTTTTGGGATTGAAAAATAAGAAAGAGCATGTCAGCGAAGTACCGCAAGGCACAGAAATCATCCAGATGCCGTTTTTCGTTTTGGAGCCCAATATATTTCCTTTGCTTACGTTGAACAATGCAATGTGCACAGCTGATCTTGCACCAACTCTTCTCAATTGAAGAACCACGATGCACTCGTTGCTACTGCATAGAAGCATTTACACCATACAATTATCTGCACGCCATCAGGAAACAGTCACATGAACGTGGGTAAGCTTACACTGTATGCGCCTCTGTTTGTCATTCTGTACATGCCACTTGCAGTTGTTTCTCATGCATAACCTCCTTTTTTCAAATTTTTGTCATGCCAGAACTTGGTAAAGTTTTGTGAAAGACATGAGAAGTGTGAAAGAAGTGTGACTGAAAAGTATGTGCATTTGTTAAAGAACATGACAATTTACTTATTGATGTGGTGGCTAAGAAAGTAAACGATGAAAGTGAATTTCAGAATGTATGACCTATTTATAAATGGTTCATTAGTTTGATGCCCTAGCTTGTCTTTCACATGTGCAAGTGACCTCACCACATGCTTTAACAAGGAAAAAGAATTTCACTGTTCCAAGTTAGTATTGCAGACGACACCATCAAAGCATGTGATGTTTATTATCTCACATGAATTATCTTTTTAGGCTGCATGACGTATGTGTGGCATGAGCAAAAGAAAGCCTTCACGGGTGATGCGCTGCTCATTCGTGGTTGTGGAAGAACAGACTTTCAAGAAGGTGTGTGTTCAGTGAACTTTTAAATTTTACTTAACATGATGCAAGCAAACATTACTAACTGAACCTGAGGAAACTTTGTGCTGGTTAGCTGACTACTGAGTGGGAAGCAAGCCTTCGGCAATGTGTTATCAAGTAGGGTAGAAACTGGAAAAGTTTTTTTTAATTTATTTTATCAGGTGTTCCTGAAGTGTACTGGAAAATTTTTTGACTGCTTTTAGAAAACACTCAAACCTCTGTAGCTTAATTGGGAAGCAAAGTTAGAATCAGATTTGGCTTGATTGGCCAAAATTGAAGAGCACCAGTAGGAGCTTTGGTAGAGATTTTAATGCAGTAATGTTAAACATTGCAGTCTTAATATCTTGATGAAATTACTTATTCTGACTGGTACGATTAAGAACTGGTAGTGTGTCCTAAACAAAAACTACCTTTTTTCAGGAGCATAATAACTTATGTAACACATGTCTTATGTACAACAGTACTTCAGTCTGATTAAGTTTAGTGAAAACTTATAGCGTATAGTCGGAAATAATGCTACTTTTGGTTGTTTCAACACTGTTGACACAATACAGAAAAGACGGTAAGCATGAAATTATTATAAAAGTGGACAAGTCTTTTCATTGTGCATGACATAGTGCACAGTACTTGTCTAAAGATAGTTGCAAGTGATATGGAGTTGTCTGTACTGAATCTCTGTTGGTCTACAGAAAAGTCCCAAGATTACAGGTGTGCTTTCTATATGACAACACATTAAAACAAACACAGGTTTCACTACATTCTTTTAATGTCATTAATAGTTTTGTCTACTAGTTTTAAAGTTGTTGCTGGGAGATATATTGTCAACAGCACTGTGCTATTAAATTTGCCTAAATAAAAAAGGTTTCCTCTTTGACAGGAAACCCTGAGTGCCTTTATGACTCGGTACACTCACAGATTCTCAGCTTGCCATATGACTACAACTTGTACCCCGCCCATGACTACAAAGGTAAGTACTCAAACTCTTTTTTTCCATTTGAAAGGGGTACTGACACAAAATTTTGCATCTGAGATAGCCTGCGAGAGCGATTCCCGTGAACATGCTATATCAACAGCGAATGTAGCTTGAAAGGTATTTTAAAATTATTTTGAAGTTGGCTTGAGCGATTGACTCCATTGCACTATTGACAACCTCAAAGGGGACTCTACCCCCTTCTTCCCTCACATGGCCACGCTGTAGCAAGTCATGACGACGTCATAGCTGCCAATTTTCTTTGGTCGTGTTTGCTCCAGCAGAGTATTACTCGCCAGCTGCTTGCGAGTCCGTGGCCTTGGCACACGAGCTGAAAGTTTTGTGTTTGACGACATTGCTGTCCCGTTTCCAGTTTAAAAAAAATTGGCTCGAATCTACATGTTACACTGCAAATGTCGTCGAAAGACGATAGTCTTGCGTCTGGAGAGAGTGAACATAACGTAAGTGCAGCGGTTCTAATGAGCGACACATGAAGCACCCCAGCCACGCTTCTGCCAGAGCCCCCCCCCCCCCAAAAAAAAAGAAGGGGCAGTTTTGAGAATCACTCAAGTGTGCGCCTGCGAAAAGACCTGCTTCACTGCACCATAGCAGTGAAGCGCAAGCAGCGCAGCGCTTGCTTCTCGCTACGTCAGCAACGCATTATGATTTACCAATTCTTTCTGGTAGTTAAAAAAAATTAATCAACGTCATTCTGATGCAGTTCCCTATGTATGCAAACTTCCAATTGGCAGTTGCTCCAGCAATTTGCACTGCTGGCAGATCTCCTGCCTGCAATGCCTACTTAGAAAACAGTTTGAAAACTTCAATGATAGTGTTCTCGAGTCAAAATACATTGTAAATTCTGTCACACTGGCCATTATTGAATACTTTATTTTGTCAGAAAGAGAAGTGGTCGCACCATGACGCACTGACGCAGCAAGGAGCAGGTGACACGCTGCCCGCGTGTCGCCAATGTGTTGCAGTGAAGCATGTTTCTTTTCCGCAAGTGCACATTTAGCTGACCTTGAGAATTTTTCGCAGGCAGCGCGGTACTCGCCGTTCACCCATGTATGAGGCAAAATTTGGCCGTGGTATTGCAGAAAAACATGACCTTTGGAGATGTGCAGTAGACGGCACCGCAAACGACCATCTCCCATTAATATTCCTTGCATCGCACTTTTTGTATATTTGATCAATTTGAGGATTTTATACAGTCCCAGTGATTTCAAATTGATTGAGGTTTTACTGCAGTAGACTACCTGGTGTGCGTGCAAGTATGAACGCCCTTTCTGCCCATGCTGTATTCCAGGTCAGACAACCACCACTGTGGGAGAAGAGCTCAAGCACAATCCTCGTCTCACCAAGTCCAAGGAGGAATTTGTTGATATCATGAACAATCTCAACCTCAGCTATCCCAAGATGATAGGTATGATAATCCACTGCAAAACTGATACACACTGAATTCTCACCTACACATATACTTTTACTCAACCAATCACAAACTTTATTTCGCAAGTCCAAACAAGCGGAAGCACAAGTGCCTCTTGTATTCTTGCACTTAAACAATTCTAATGATTCTTGCATAACTTTGTTTTGACGATGTGTGCAAAATTGAAGGACTTTTCTAGCCGTTGTATCGAAATGTGCATTCATGGTTCAATTACATTGCTTTTATAGTCTGAAAATAATTGAATATTTACAATTACTAGTGCTTTAACGTAGTAGTGGTTAATAAAGCATAGCAGCTCTCGATAAATGCATCGACATTTAAAGTAAAGCGGTATCTGATCAATTATAGGTCTCAGTTGCACGCACTCATCCCCCACGCCCATACAGTACAGTACCCTTGCCAAGTCTCAGTCTTGTTCACAGTCATATCCATTCACACTTGTCAGCATCTAGTAAATGTGCACACTCGCGCCTGTTTGCACTCCTGTCAATAGTCTTGTTTACTCCCACCCACGGTCACAAGAGGTGTAGCTCGTGTTTTTGAAACGTGATGCGAATGCAAGTGTTCTTTTGAGTGAGTATGCTGACCTGTGCTAATAGATGAACTATTTGTGTTCCAGACCAGGCCGTTCCTGCCAACATGGTCTGCGGCCTTCACGAATTTGCAGAGACATCATGAGCCTATTCAGAGAGCACAGCTGGACATACACGACTTGCATTTGCAGGAAGCATATTTTTAGGCATAGGTAAACATCAAATAGCACACGGCACTTTGTCCGCAGTAGCGTTAACATTCCGTAGTATACATTTGTTGAATTCTTCCCATAAAACTTGAAATGTAGCAAGCGAGTGATGCAACATGCATTTCAATCGCAATAAAGGTATTTTGTTAATTGCTCTATATGAAAGCGTGCTGTCGTAGTTATTTCAACTATACTATTCTACATGAACAAGCTACTTGAGAATGTACTTTTCCCACACTTGCACATTGCCAACACGGCTCTTTGGCAGTATGACAGCTTTCCTGGCAAGACGTTTCACATGGCCATTTTAGCAAACGTAAATGTTTCGTGGATAAGATTTATAGCTTGTAACTGCGAGAATGACCACAGAAAGGATGAGGGTGAAGAGGAAAGCCGAATGCTGCACAAGACTACAAGATAGCGCCAATGTGGCGTGCATTGTCTGGCAAGCATTCTGTCAGTGGCAGTCCGCTGTGGATAGCACCAACGTGCTGGCTTGCATAATTTTCTCATTAGTAGGCCACGAGTGTTGAAGATTAGGGCGAGTTGGATTCGTCGTATTTGAACTGGTATAATAATGCGCTATACCAGTTCAAATACTCATTAGTAGGACTACTAGTTTGCACTTTGCTCCATTCGCTACGTGCCACATGAGCGATCGTCTGCACCAGCAAATGTATATCACAAAATTAAAATGTGTACAGCCATGTACATTAGGGAGCACTGCAATCTTTGATGTCTCAGAAAAGGTATAGCCCTTCCACCATCCCTAACACACCGGTACATTCTCCATTGCATGTTCAAGCATTTGCACCGAAACGAAAAGCTGGCACAACTTAGCATGGATCTATGAGTTGCACCAACTGTCAAATCTTTCCTTCCTAGAAGCACATGCTTTTGCCCCTCGCCGTATAGGTACATGTATTGAAGATTACAGAGCTAATGCAACCGCCCTTTGCTGGTGGGCATGGTCGTGTGTGGGATTAAGCGTACAAGCATGGTTTTGCCATCTGCTGTGGTTTTGTGAGGTATGCTTTTAACACAATGGCATTAAGAGCTTGTTTCGCAGGAATTCCAGCATATCCATTGGCATCGTTGGTTGTGAGCGAAAAATCATGCCTGTAATCGAAAGATTGAGAAAGATGGAAATAAAATTTATGGCCGGAGTGAGAATCAAACTTAACCCGGCTCCATGGCAAGCTGGTGTTCTACCATAAAGCCACCGTACTGCTTGATAATGCTTAGAAAAAAAAAAACACTACATGAGTGTCAGTGTGGTGGCAGGAGTCTCCTTAAAGATGTACCAACAAGATTTTGAGACATCACAAAAGAGACATTTTTTGTTGCTTGGTATAGAGCTGACACTTTCTGTACATCGGAGTCAGCCAGCATAAAATAATTTCTTTGATATTAACATTTACGTCGCTTAACATCGGCAGACCAGCCAGACCCTCTGCGATGGACGCCATCTCTACGAGTCAACACAGTTCCACAGACTGCATTCTGCGTGCAGCCTATATCACAGAAATCGCTGTCACTAGAAACAATGCACTCATCGCTGTTTACCACGAGCAGATGGAAGAATTGCCATCAGGACAGGGCAATTAGCTGTCTTTCCGTGACGTCGCATTGCCATGACACATCACGAAGCCGCTCCCTTGATATCGAAACAAAGTGTCCTTTAAGGTACTGGTATTGAAACTTTTGCAACACATTCCCAGACACCACAAGCACTATCTTTATTGTTCTCGAAAGCTGCGTTCTTATTCAGACCGATGATCCCCAATTATTTAAATTTGTGCCAGTACTCCTTTTAAATTATAGAAGATTGCATCGCAGACGCGTAGAATCGCACCAGGCATCAAAACATCTAAATTGCGAGTGGGTGGACCACCCATAACAAGGGATGCAGCTGCATAGGTTTGCGTGTTACCTCAGGGATGTGTGTAGGGCCTTTTACTTATTTGGAAAATAAAAAGTGGGCACCTGACTGTACTTGCAGCAGGTGTTCTAAGGTAGCTTAAAATGCCAAATGTTACATGCACTGTCATTCGTTTCCTTAAGGCACAAGTGAGGCATTCATAGAGGACTGAAGCTAGGCTAGCAATTGTGAAAGCAGTCTGCACGGGTTCCGATTACACTATCGCATTCTGTTCTGGATCATAAAGCTCACAACCTCTGAACTCTTTCTTTTTGTGTTTCTGTGCCTGCCATGGCCTAGAGGTGTGCACCTTTTCCTCTCCAGTATACCTAAACATAACTCTTGTCATCCCAACTCTACAACTTGCCATTTCTCTGCGTTTATAGATTCCCCGATATTCGCATAAGTAGGCAGGCACTGGGGGTGCATCGGCCTAAACACGCTCGACAGTAAAGGGTTAAAGGGACACTAAAGGCTAATAACAGTGTCAGAGTGAAAGCTCTACGTACGACATCTAAAACAGCAATATTATTAAAAGCAGTGCTCTACTTACCGAGAAAGTAGGGTAAATGTACCACACGATGGGCCTCATGAGTGGGATTTGTTGGAAATGATCCCAAAGGCGCGAGAGCGTCCGACTCCAATACCTTCCGCGCGCCAAAAGACACAATAAAATGCTACGTGTTCATTTCTGTTTGATTTATAGAAAAGAGGACCACTGGGCGTTACTATGGGGAATTATGCGAGTGGTTCAAAAATTTCATTTGCACCTGGTTAAACTGGACAGGCCCAGTTAAACCAAGCACACCTGCCATCTCGGAGGCCATGTCAGAAAATTTTTAAATGGCCGTTGTTGCTGTTGTGGCTCCCGCCATAGAGCATGGGAATTATGGGTAGTACATTAATTTGCCTAATTTTCGTACGTTACGCTCGGTTTGGCTTAGCATGGCTTGAAGCTGCTTTGTCACAAAACAATCGACAAATGCTCGGCAGTTACGCTTCACCACCTTCTTCACTTTTCAAGATTACGAATTCAAATCGGCTCCCGAAGTTCAACATGGTTTCTTCTTTCATTCGAAGAAACGCAGCAATAAACAAAGCCACAAGAACCATTCGAGGCCCATAAATACAAAGACTTCCCATGATCGCTAAACCCATAATTCCCATGGTCGCTAAACGATCGCAGCGCCAGAGTCCCATCTAGTTAATTTTAAGAAACTCTATGGCTCCCACTATTTTCACTCTGCTGCTGCTAGTGGCCACATAGTGCACGACAACAGTAACGAGAGACGGAACACCTCAGGCGGGTGATTTGAAGTGCGCTAAAGCGATGCGTACCGCTAAAGCGTGATTATTTAAAAACAAGCACTTCCTTAGCACAAAAGTAGCACTACGAGGTTTCTGGACTGTTATTTCAGCAATCAACATTTGCCATTGGTGTCCCTTTAAGAAACTCTAGTAGAAACAGAATAGTGGTTTTATAATTGTAGCATGCTGGAGCAATACACATTCAAACGCAGCCGTGCATGGCAGTACAGGGCCAAGTGCTAACGAGTAATTTTAAACGTGCTAGAATTTTTCTACCAACCCAATGAGTAAAACCTAACCATCTGTCATGCGAGAGGACTTGCTACATGCATGTACTACATAAAAAATGGTGGTGGCAAATTTCGAAGCTACAACTCAAGGCAAAACACACACACTGGCAGGAAGTAATATATTTGAAACGTACCAATATGTTGTACGAGCAGCACAAAATAAATATAAAAGAACACTTTCTGTGGATCAATGGCAGCTCCGTAGAAATATTTGGTATTGGCAGAATACAGGCCCCCTTTACAGCAACATGTAAAGCCAGCATGAACCAGTGTAGACATTGGAAAAGTTTGGACTTGGAAACAAATTAATGCCAAACATGCCACTGCTCTTCACATTTCTCGGTGGTTGCGGAAAGCACCTTTTGTTGTGGCGTTCTGTACTAAATGAAACCACCGGCAAAATAGTGGATAGGGGGACAAGTGGATAATGTCGGAGAGACGTTTATCCTATAACAGACATGTAAAATGATGATGCAGTAAATGTACAAGCAACAAGGCTAAAATTATTGACCTTGACAGCATGTTTTATTCCAGTTCGCTCCGACGGGGAAGGAAGAGTTGAGAAAGTACATCAATGATAGCCAGACTGCTAGGTGAAATGAAAGGGAGAAAGGAAAGGTTGTCACGACAAAAATGTGCATGAAAGTACAAAGCAGGAAAAGGGAAGAGAACAAGAAACAGGAAAAGGGAAGGGAACACACAGATGTCCTATCAAAGGACAAGTGTGGAGTTTCAAAACGGCCAGCACGCTCCTCTCGGTCCTTCTTGTCTCGGGAGCGGGACCTGCGCTCACGGCTGCGGCTGCGACGCCTGCGCTCACGGCTTCGACTGCGGCGCCGTGGTCCCTTTGGACTCCGTGACCCCGACCGAGACCTGCATGCCATGCAATTTTGAGTAAACTGTAGCTAAACAGACGTATTAGGATGCGCCTCACAGCTGCTGCACAATTATGTACCAATCCATTTTAGACGACCAGTCCAAGGTGAAAACAGGCATAAATGTAATTAAGACTGCTGACTGAGTACTATCAACTAATTGCACTCTGCAACTTCTATCAATGTTCCCAGCAAGAATAATGTTATCCATAATTGTTTATATAGCACACATTCCAGCTGAAACTACAAAGCGCAGTGTAGTGAAGCAAAACTAAGTAAATGAGTACATTCAAACTTGCTGTTCTTTTAAATGGCCCGCGCATTAGCAAGGTAGGAATTTGTTACCAGGGTTGCTGGGGAGTTATTGGGCCTGTTGGCACACCAACGTCAAGGATGATCAATAGTGCAACCATGTGAGAAAGAACGAGCACCCTTGCTTTAGTTGTTCCTTATCGCATTCCTGGGCCACTTGTTACCCTCTGCTATTTTGTAATTTCTGTATTATATTACTATGTTATGGCAGTACAAGAATGGGATTGTTCACTGACCTCCTGCGGCGCTTGCGGCCGTACAGTTCCCTGCGCAGCTCTCTTGAGATGGGCTTGAGGTGCATGAAGTTGCAAAAGCCGCTGCGAGTGCACTCCCTAGATATATAGAAAAGAAGGCAGCACCGGATGAAAATGCACATCCCCCCCAACCCCGCACAAGCTAGCCACTGACACCAAAAATGCTGCGCATGCCACCACTTCACTACTCGGGCCACCAC